AACCTTGAATTTCATGTTTAAAAATCATTTTTCAATTCTTTCTTTGCTTTATGAAACATAAAATTGAAGCTATAAACCCTTTCAAAAATATTTGCATGTATGAAATTTCAATCAAAATCAAACTAATTTTTTATTCTCAAATATAAATTATAATTTATTCCCAAATTTGTCCAAATTTAGATTTAATTCATTTTCTTTATATCAAACCCAATTTCAAACTCATAAATTCTAAAATATGAATTAAACTTTTAAAATATAACTTCAATACTTGGGTTCACATATGGCTTGTCTAAAAATATACAAGCTCTTAAATAATCAAGAAAACATGATCAATTTTAAATCATTTACATCAAAACTCTTTTAATTTACAAATTAAGTTCATTGTTCATAAACCCATAATTTTCCAAAGCTTAATTCTTATTTCATCAAATCATGAAATCAATTACTAGAAATCCATGATGCATGTATAATTAGAGTATTAAAACTTGTAGAATTTGTCCATGCATGTAGAAATTAGACTCAAACTCATGCAAGATATTACAAAATCGAACCTAAAATAATTTATTCTAAATTTATTCCATAACCATAAACCTAGATCAATTTTTTCATCAATTTGCTAATTTCTTTGTAATTACATGAGATTGAACCCAATCATCTCTTAATTTCAGCTTTTAGGTGATTTATCTATGAAATTTAAGTTTCAATTTCTTACCTCAAGTCTTCAGTGGCTAAATTTTTTAAGCCTTTCTTCATTCCTTCACTTGGTCTCAACTTCTCTAAGTTTTTTCTTCAATTTTCAGCAAGAGTAGCAAGAGTAATAGGGGACTTCCCTTCTTTATTTCTTTTGATTTGAACTCTCTCTCTCTCTCTCCTAAGGTTTTGTTTTTACTCCAGCCAAGAATGACTATAATGCATGTATATAAGTTATGAAGTTCTTTCTCTCATATTATTTAATTGACTTGCTTAGATTATTTCACTTAACATAATTAATAAATTGTTAATCTTAGTTCATTATGTCTAGTTTTAAAATTTAATTAGTCTAATTGACTTCAATTAAGGCCCAATTAATTATATTTAATTTTTACCAATTTGAATCAGATTTTTTTAATCAAACTCTTAAAAAGTTCCAAATATCAAATTAAACTTATTGTCATCATCAATTTTGATTTCTCAAATCATTTAGGCCTTCAATTTCTGATCAGACCCAAAATTTTCGACAATAAATTACATATTCAAATTTGATACCTGAAAAACAGATTTAATTCATAATAATCATAATTTCTCAAACCTTATAACATAATTAACTTAATTAACTCCGATTTGGACCCAATTAATCAAATCTTGATTTTACTAAACTGAACTAAATATTAATTAAACTCCCAAATGGGTCCGTAATTAAAATTAAATTGATTCAACTTCTTAATTTCACTTCCTTAAGCCATTTGGACCCTTAATTTCTAATTCCAAAATAAATCTTTAATAGAATCAAATACGAATCAGATTCTACAATTCTCATAAATCCCAAATTAAATTAGAATAACGACTAATTAAAATTCCAAATCTCCTTAATTAACCAAAAATAAAATATTATACGTGGCGGGGTTGTCACACCTCTCATGAGGTCGACCTTCGTAAATTGTGCCATACTCCGCACGACCGTGTCCTCAACAACCCCTAACAGACAATTTGCGGCGACCCTAGCTTCACCCCCATCACCTGCCAAGCACCTGACCACCGCGCAAACATGATACATAATGGTCCTCAGCACGGCGCTCGTCTCTGCTCCCCTTGCCCGCTCTCTTCCTACTTCCTGACTAGGGGCACTTCTTGAAAGGACACGTCCTTGGAGGCTAAGTCTGCCGACCGTGATTACCCATCTACTTCGTTCACCACTTGGGAACTTGGCCAAACCTTCCTCCGCCCCCACACCAACCCTGGTCTCCCCCTCCTCTACTTCTGGGGGCAACTCCACCACCCCCCTCTTTCGCCTTCTTCAACACTGATCCTCCTTCACTTCCCTCCGAAGCCACCTTTTTTTTTTTTGCTTTTGCTTCAATACCGACTCCATCTCCCTCTTGCTTCTCTCCTTTAGTGGATCCACTGGCGCTTACAAGGGCACAAAGTCGGTCAAGTCCTTCTCTCCCAAGGGCTTGAGGCGCGGTTGGACCGACCTCTTTGCAGCCAGCTTAGGCACAGGGCCTAATTGTTTTTCCTTATATTTATCTGCCATTGCAAAAGCTTGTTTGTCCTCTGCCTCCTAAGCTTTCCTCCTTGCTTCCATCTACTCTGGCGACGGATCTCCTTCGGCTGGTTACGGCCCCAGATTCAGGGCGAACAAGGCTGAGGGCTGGACGAGTTGTCCCACTTCAGCCCTTATTTCTCCTTCCACTCCCTCACCTGTTTGACCCTTTTCTCCGCCTCAGCGTCTAACTTTGGTTCCAACAACTTGGTGGGGACTTTCCAAATTGTGCGCAGTCCTCTTCTGCCACTCGCCGACACAAAAAACCATTTTGGCCGCCAGCCCTTCACCGACGAGGGTAGTCTTGCCACCAATCCCCTTCCTGCTATGGCCTGTAAGGTCACCCATATCTCCTGTTGCCCTGATGCCTTATAACATGAGAAAAATTCGTCCACCGTCATTCTCTCTCCTCCGGTCGCCCATGGCCACATGATTGCGCACGCAAATAGAATCTTCCACGCGTTCAGTATTAGTTGTCCTGGGGCCACCTCCAGGCGATTTAGCACGTTGACCACTAGCTGTGGGAGCGGCAGCCTCAGACTCCCCCGCAGCGCTTCTTTGTACAAAGCGAACTCCATTGGCCATGCATCAGAAGCCCTCTTCTTCACCGTAGGCACTCTCAACTTTACCTCTGCCAGAATCTGGTATCTGCTCCACAGCTCCTCCAGATCCTCTACCGTTAGCGTGGATTTGTTAGCCTTGGTATGCCAGTGGTCTGGCGCTACTTGGCTAATCGGTTGGACCACCGCCATCATTGTCCCTGGAGAGGGTCGCATTGGCCGCTCCACAACCCTCTCTTCACGCCTCTCTCCTTTATATTGCTCCGCCAGTGCCACTCCGTCATCATCTCCTAACGCATCCGATGTCATCGTTGGCGCTTTGTCTTGTGCCATTTTCTTCATGTTTCTGTATATCGCCTTGGTTGTAGGAGCGAGGAAACCGGGTATGTGAAAGAAGGGAGAGTCCATCGAGATGTAAGAGCTAAAGTCTGGAATGTGTTGATTCTTCGCAATAAGGTAAGTAAATCACACCAGTCCAAATGCCCAAGGTTTGCCTGTGTTCCAAGGATTGAGGTTAAAATTTGCCAATTTGAAATTCAACAAACAAGTCCAAACCCTTGCATTTTTTCCACATCCTCACTACCAGCCCCTTCACCTCCTCCCATTGATTCGTATTTCCTATCCCCTGCCTAATATTGCGCCACGTGTATGGCTACGATCCCTCCATCTCCCCCACTAATTCTCTTTCTTCTCCCCCGTCTATTCCACTTATTACATCGTCGCTTGCTTACTCGCTCCTCGAGCCCTGTGCGCCATCACTAAATTTTCAACCCTCCTCCTAGCACCATCTCGCTTGGCCGCCTTCGCAATCGTCCTTCCTCACGGTCAGTTATCCCGCTCAGCCCCCTTCATGATCGGCCCTCCCCACGGTCGGTCATCCCGCTCGGCCACCTTCGCAGTCAGCTCTCCTCCGGGTCTATCATCCCGCTCAGTCACCTTCACGGTTGGCCCTCCTTACAGTCGGCCGCCCTTGCCGATTGGTCGTTTCTCCCAGTCCCCTCCTCTACGGCGTTCAATCTTTTGTCTCCATTTCACCACCCCCTCTCCCACTGCCTCCTACCCGAGCTTGGGGGACTCCTTCTACCTTTCCTATTCCTTTCATTGGACTAAAGCTATACTTGGGAATGGGGGACTATTGATACCGATGGGCCCGCAAGAGGGTCCGGCCCACGACTCAAGATCCAACCCACGGACTAGATATTAAAGCCTAGTAATCTTGAGAAACCAATGATGGACCAGGACCAATAGCATTTAAACACCTGTCGGGTAGGGAATCAGCCATGTAGGCAGACAAAGATCCTACAAAGTTATTGCATCCACACATTAGCCATTAATGAGGCTCTCGTAGCATTAAATGCAACAACTCCTTCACGTCGAAGGATACAAACTCACCATGAATGATGCGAGCTAGAAAATAGACTTTCGGCCAACAAGACAATCTGGAATGGACAAGGAAATGATGAATAAAGGATATAAGGAAGCTTCCGAGATGCGTTAAAGGTTAAGTTTTTCATCCCTCTCTTCTCTCTCTACACAATCAATCTACTCTATCCTAACTCGATCATTGGAGTGTCCGCTGGGGGATTACCTCCCCCCTTGGACCTTTTTGCAAGCATGCTCCGTGGACTTCAAGTGTGGATCAGCCCGATCCATCCTTCGTTGGAACTATTGCATTATCATACATATATAATTTAATTTTTTTAATATTACATTTAATATTTAATATCTTCTCTCACTTTTATTAGCACTATAATTTCTAAAATAGCAAAATTAACTCAACCCTACCCCAACAAGCCAACTCTATGATTTATCCTACCCTTGATATGATTTGGGGCGGTATAAACCTATCACTGCCTTACTTGTTACTATCCCTACTTCACATTCACACTACTGCCTTAGCCTTCAAGGAAAGATTGTTAGCATCAATCAAAAACAAATGCATTGTCTGGATGTTATTGCCCCTTAAAAAAAAACACATTCACACTGCCCTAGCCTTCAAGGAAAGTCATTTGTAGTATCAATCAAAAACAAATGCAGTCTTAGGACATTAATGCGCTGAAAAAAAATAAAAAGGCACAAAGATGATTATTGCAACAATTAATACACAATAAACAAATACTAATACGCAGATATGCATCCAACTCAATAATTTTTTCAGATGATTTTTATTTATTTATTTAGTCCATTTGAGAAAGGGGAGGTTGGATTGAACATCCTTGCAAGCAGAACAAAAGTCATCCGGACTTGTGTTCAAATATTCATTCAGAATACTTAAAAATGGCTATTACATAAGTCAGATAGCAAAAAGGCTTACTAATTAATAAATATTATTCCGAAGACATTCCGTATTATGTACAATACATTTTTTGACATAGAAGCCAGCACCACCATCCTTTAAGCTTGAACTTCCTATCATCATCGTTGTCGTCATCATCATCATGGAGTTTCTGTTCAAAGGTGAAGAAGGCACCTCAGCGATTTCCCATCCACCAAAAGCTGTACAGCTTCATTTATCTTGTCAAAGGGAAGCTCATGAGTTATGAACTCATCCAAATTCACCACCTGACATTCAAAAATTAAACCCACCATTATTATTAGTTAGTTAATTAATTATATGAAGAGGACAAAGACAAGAAATCAAACTAAACCAAATTCAATTTTTTTTTTTTTTTTTTTTTTTTTAGAAATAGGAGACCTTTTAGGACATCAATTCTATTTTATAACCAACACAACCAAACATAGTTGGGATTTGGAATTCTATTAATTCTTTCTCCTTTTCCTTTCATTTCCATTTCCCTTCCCAAATCCCCCAACCAAACACAGCGTAAATGAAATGAAATGAAATGAAATGAGACTAACCCCACGCATGCATTGTTTGGCAAAATGAGGCAGTTGCGTCTTCCCTTTGAAGTCTCCGAAGACCGATCCAACAATTTTCCGACCATCGAACGACTCCATTGGATGCAGAGGAATCATCCTTTGGGCCAGGATGAATTCCTAGTACTTCTACAGTTAATCCCCACCCCTGCCACCCCCAAAAATAACCAAACAAATAAATAAAAACAGTTTTCTTATAATAACATTTGGTCTCATTTGTAGTTATATATGTATGTTTTGATGGATTGAACAAAGGTGAAATGAGAATCTTTGGTTTTTGTTTGGTTACAATTCTCATAAAGTATATTTTTTTCAGAAACTATATTGGCAAAATGTGAAAAATGGATTTTTTACTGCTATATATATAAATGTAATAGAGTCCACATTAATAAATATATGTACAAATTATTATTTTATATCTAATCATAAAAAAATTTAATAAAAAAATTATGACAAATGCTAACAAGTGTCCATGTGACATTGTTTAATATTCTAATTTGTGTAAAAAGTGTTTTGGAATAGTGAAAATATTTTTTTTTTTAAAAACAAAATCAATGAAAAGTGTCTCATGTCTCTATATATATTTTTTCTATTTTTCTTGTGTCATGGACACTTATTAACAAGACCCAAAATTTATTTATATTTACTATTTTTCAGTAAATAAAATTTATTTAATTAACCTTGTATCATTTTTTTAATATTTAGTATTTTTATTATGATATACATACATCATGAGTAGACAAAAATGCCTCCCGAAGAACGTCCAAATTCCCCACACTCTCAAACCTGAAATCAACACCGCTTCCCGTCATTTCCAAGATTTTCTGCATGCATAACAAAACACAACAAAACCCCACTCCACTTATAAATGAATAGCTCTCATCATCATTTTTTAAATCCTACGATCTTTTCTTTCTTTCTTGTATTTTTTTAATTTGTTTCTTGTGCTTTGAAATTGGTTAATAATTTCTATTGTACTAACCTTATGCACTGGCTTGTCAAGATCCTTGGGCCATGTTTGTTTGGGTGGACATGAGCTTGGGATTGGACTAATAGTCCAACAAAATTATTAATCCGATATTTGGTTAAACAATTGAGGTACGGATTAATTATTTTAAACTTGACTATTAGTTAAGATAGGATACATAATCCAACGGATGCGTAGTCTTAAGACTATTAGTCATGGGAATGCTAATCCAGTCCGCCCAAACAAACATGGCCTTGGGGTTAAAGAAATCTGTAATTCCCATTGCTTGGCCTATGTTTAGAGCAAGAGTTTTAGTATTAGATGACTAAACAATAAGAGTAATAAAATTAAAGAAATGGAATCAATCAATTTGAACTATTTCTTTCCCAGAATACATTCAATTCAAATTAATTTAGTCTCGTTGACTCGTTAATTTAAACATGACCTTGTAGTAGTACAAGGTTTTTAAACTGCATGCAAGTTACATTAAAGGAATGTATACATTATATGCTCTCAAATTAATACTATTTAAATCTGCTCAAGTTAATTTAAATAAACATAATTTGTACTGATCGAGGTTAGGTACATACCTTTGACAAATTTCTGAGAGTTAATATCAACTCCTATGATTTTAGATGCTCCTCTGGCTCGGGCTCCTTCAGCAACCTATACGAATCGTGGCACACAAACATTTATCTAGCTTCTTATTTGTTTGGAATATAATTGGCGAGTATAAAGGTTGATTTGTGATGACCTCAATGATCAAATTTCCTAATCCTCACAAGGCAAGTAATCTAGATTGTTGATGTAGCTTTGTTCGAAGAAATACTTCATTTAATTGTATGCTTAAATCTTAACAAAGGCCTTGAAATATAAAGCTGTTGAGGTGGAGAGACCTAGATAGCCATGAGTAAACAATGACGCTCAACAATCTGAACACATCATCGGTTCCTAAGTAGACAGCAACTGTGTTTGGTCGGTATTCATTTGGGTTGGGTCTATCCATGTGTAATTAAAGTGTGAAAGAGATGTGAACTTAAAAGGAAATTGAAAAGCAATGAGGAAAGAATAATGTTATGACAATTAAATTTATAAATTTATTATATAAGTTAATAAATTTTGTATATTGTTTTATTAACAAATGTGACAGATACAAGTAAAATTTTAGAATTTAAAACAATATCCATCCAATTAAATAATATTGGACAACCAAAGTGGAGTATATTTTTATTATTTTTTTTATAACGTGTGAATTACACTAACAGTTCTTATATTTTAGGGCTTGTATTATTTTGGTCCATGACTTTTCAATTATGACACATTTGACCTTAAATTTTAAATCTTCTTCCAAATAAGGACAGTTGAATATATCATTGCCCAATTTTTCGGACAAATTCGTCAATCTAATAAAATATAAACTAATTTCACAAAAATAAATGTCAAAAAAATATTTTTAATTTTTTTAAAATAATTTCTACACACCAAATATATTGATTACACATTAAAAGCTCAACAATCACCCATTACATGATTATCATCCCAACACATAATAAAAATTGATTTAGTAAAATAAATAAATAAATAAATGTCTAAAAGATTTATCAATTTTTCATTGGGGTAGCCATTTTGGATTCATCCTGCACCATACTCACTTGTGAGTCTTCACTAGAGACTGGAATTTGGTCAATTTCTTGACCCTTTTGGTTCTCATTTCCAGCTTGGAATTCATGTGGTAGTATATGTACCATATTCATTGATATTGGAGAAACCGAGCCAAATTGAATGGCTGGCTGTACCTTTTATGTTAGCTGTATAAATTGTATAAGCCAATCACGATTCAACACGTGGTATGAGAAGAGCAATTTGGAAAGGTAATATAAATCGCCAACCATAGTCGGACACGTCTCAACCAATACTAGTAATAATGGGTCTGCATAGCATTGGAATGATCGAGGGATATAAGGTGATGTGGCCTAACGGTTACTCACAAGGTTCAAATTCAAAATCAGGAGGGAAACCTAACTGCATACATGGCATAGTGGGGCTAACTGTGAGAGAGCATGATCAGCGATCATGGAGGGATGTTTCGACAATTAAAAGCCCATTTCGACAGTTATCATTGAGAAGTATAAATGGCAGAGAAAGCCCAGAAAGAGGACCCAAACTCAGATCCAAAAATCAGTTTTTATCTACTTTATTTTCCTTCTAGTTTTTACATTTCTTGTTCTTTACATTTATGCACTTCAAATTCTTGTATTGCACTTTATTCATAGGAGTAGTTTTGAATAGCTTGTTGCTATAAACCTCTACGAGGCTGGATCAGATCATTGTAAGTTTTTCATTTTTACTTAATGAAATGCTGCAATTGTTCTTTATTTAATTGTTGTTTACTAAATTCTCCTAAATAAGCCACCAATAAAAGTCTTCTTCATTGAGGCTGAAAGAACTGAAACACAATCGCCTAATAATTGGTTGACAATTAATCTTCTGTAAGGACTGATTGATCCTTACTGGCATGCTTAAAATTACAATACTAATCTTCGGAAGCCAAAAAAGTTAACATATATTTTTGGTACACCCGATGGGACAAATTGAAATGGCTAGACGTAGAAGACAAGGAGAAAATAAACGCCTAGAAGAAGGTGTGGAAGGAGACGTAGAGGTACCTGATCCAGAGGATAATGTGATAACACATCCTATAGAAGCACTTATCTCATCAGAACCTATGGTCGAACAGACCAGTAGTGCAGAACATGCACCACGTGTCCAGAATAGTGGACAAGACCATGGAATTGGACCATCCACTGTTCCATCCACTCAGCCAATGAATCCGTGGGGAGGCTTAGTGGATGCCATGGGATAGCAGTTGATGAACACAGTGACAAGATGAGCAATATCCTTTATGGATCAGATAAATACCCATCAACCAACTAACACAAGGCATATAGAAGAAATTTAAAATGTCCCTCAGCAAAGATTGGCTAGAGATAAACAGCCTATGCAAAGTAATGGACATACTAATGGTCAAACTAGTAATCAAAATTATGAAAGTTCATCACCTCAGTCTTGGTATGAGCCTCTTTTGAGGCCTATGATAAATCAAAATGCCTCATTACTTAACAGTGAAGCCATGCAAATCGGTGGATCTGGGTCCACACAAGAATGTCATAAGGATGTTTCCAAATCCCATATTCGAAACCATACCTGGCACAAGGGGGTTTACTAATCATTTGTTCGAATTTGTACCCGGGGGGTTGGAAAGGTTTCCTGCGGCTGGAAGAGACAAAACACCAGTTCCAGCACCTTTCGCAGGACAGGCTTAGAAAGATTAACCATACCCTCAACAGCAGCCAACACCACAGGGACAACCAGTCTCAAATATACCTCCCTATGGACCAAGAAGACCTCAGGCACAAGGATTTCCACCAAATCCTGTGTTTGTTTCTCCAGTGGCGGTTCAACAAGCACAAAATATGGTTCCTAGGGACCAAATTGCTGATATTATTAGAGAAATGTGTGGACCTATGGCTTGAGGGGTTCAAACTCCTGTGTACACGAAACCATATCCAAAATGGATGGATAGGGTACATGAATATCCAAGAGGCTTTAGAATACCAAACTTTGCTCTTTTTTATGGGAATGGAAACCAGTCAACAGTAGAACATATTGTTAGGTTCGCTACCCAGTGTGGTGAATTTACCAATAATGATTACATGAAGTTAAGACTTTTTCCAAATTCTCAGCTTTTGTATAGTGTATTAACCTTATATTTAGCTCTATCCAAACTTGGCAACAAATGGAGAAGGCATTTCATGCCCAATTCTTCCAAATGGAACCAGAAGTTTCTATGGCAGACTTGGCAAGGTTGAATCAAAAGCCTGATGAGAAGGCCATTCAGTTTATTACTAGATTCAAAAGAGCACGAAACAAGTGTAGGATCATTCTACCAGAGCCTGAATTTGTGAGATTGGCTCAAAATAGTTTAGAGTTTAGGCTTCGAAAGAAGTTTAACTTAACTGAGTTTCGAGACTTAGTGGAATTAACTTATAAGATGTCTAGATATGAATCATTACTTGAGGAAGAACAAGGTCGAAGTAATGCATCATACAAGACGTATTATAGAGATCCTAGTTATGAGATTGATGCAACAGAGATCGTAGGAAAAGAACCTGTGATCTGTGAGGCGTTAATTCATAAAGACACTACAATAGATCAACAGTTTAAAAAGAAAGACCTTCATAGGAAATATTCTTTCGATTTAACAAAGGCAGATGACATTTTTGATCATTTGCTTGCAGCAAATTTCCTAAAGTTACCAAAAGGAGTCAAAATTCTTTTTCCAGAAGAACTTAAAGGAAAAATATAATATAAATGACACAATTCTTGGTCTCACTCAACTAAAAACTGTATTGTTTTTCAGGACAAGATCCAAGAACAGATTTGAAAATGGAGTTTAAAATTCCCAACTAAAGCAGAGAAAGCTATGGGGATTGACACTAATCCATTCCCAGAAAATTGGAAAAGTTACAGCCAATGTTATTGTGTCAGACTTCCAGAACTTATCCTTGAAGGAATTGGAAGAGGTTAATGTGCAGATTCATGTTGCCAGTCAGACTACTGTCAAGAAAGATACTAGAAGTTCACCAGCAAATGGGTAGGGCTTTGCAGACCAAAGGGAAGACTCTGATGAGGAGGCACTGGATGATGACTCTTTAGAGGCAGCTGTTATACAAAGAATGTGTCCCAGATGCAGGTTAAACTACAAATGGTTGAAAGGGCTCCCGATTGATAGGAAACAGTATTACAAGGATGTGCAGAGACGCCCTAAACTAACCAGTGCCTACAACAAAAGGCCATACCCAGCTGGGTCCTAGACAGCAGCCATTCTTGGCTGGACCAACAACCACTAGAGTGCATTATAAGGGCAAGAGACCTCTACATGAGTTTAGACCACCCAACTATTGCAGAATGGAGGGCAATCGTCCTGAGATGAGACCTGAAATGGGCTCAAGTTATGGGATCAGAGCCAGAGATTAGCCTCCTAGACCAGCCTCTCACAAGATGAAAAGTAGCCACCCTCATGGAAGGCCTGAATTAGGCCCAAGACAAGGGGTCAGGGCCAAGCAGTGGTCTCCACAGGCAGCTTCGAAACTGGCTTCGAAGGCAGAAAGAGACAGTTCAACAATTGAGCTAGAGGGTTCATGGGTACCTAGGGTTCCAGATTGGTTTGTTATGCAGAACAAGTCTAAGGAAATACCTACCCAAAAAAGTGTTGTTTGAGACTAGGGTATGATGGTTAAGCTTCCCTTGGTGACTCCAAATAATTGGGTGTTACTAAAACATCCAAAAACAAAGGAATCAAATATGGTCCTAGTAATTTCTAGGTCCTAAAGGAGGAAGATCCAACGAAAGTACACTCAGTACCAAAACGATCTGAAAGAAAGTGGGGAAAGTTCTTCATTGGCCCAACCAAAAGGCCAGACAGAGAGAAGAAAAAGTCCAAAGTTGGATCATAGTCCAAAATTGACTCTCAGGACAGAAGGAGTTTCAGCAAAGAGCAGTTGTCTAAAGTTCACTCTGAACTGAAAGCCAAAGAAAAATCCAGTTTAACAAGTCTTGAAAAGGCTTTGATGGAAAGCGACAGTGAGACAGAGGGAGAAGTTGACTTAGGCCAAAAGAAAGAGATGGTTGAGAAGGAAATGTTTGAAGCCTTCATAGCTGAACAGACATATTTGGTCGAAAAACCAGCAGGAACAGACCATTCGAAGGAAGTCACTAGTACTGAAGTGCCATAATGCAACATGGAAAATGTTTCTGAAGTAATTGAACAAGTTGGCCTGGAAAAGAAGCAAGTACAGCCAGTGGTTCAATTTGGCTCATTTCCTCTAGTGTGAGTGAATATGGTGCATATACTACCACAGGAGTTCCAAGTTGAAGATGAAAACCAAGAAGGTTAGAAGATTGACCTCATTCCAGTTTCTAGTGAAGATTCACAGGTTAGTATGGTTTAAGATGAATCCGAAGTGGCCACATCAATGGAAACTGGGGACGAGAGTGCGGAAGAGGTGAGTATTAATCTCTCATATCCTTTTGAGTATCTTACAACATCCATGACACAGCACGTCAAGCCCTTGTATATCAAGGTTTTTTTCGATGGGATACAGCTAAATAGGGTATTGGTGGATAATGGAGTAGCAGTGAACCTGCTTTCGAATTCTTCTTTGAAGAAACTAGGGAAAAGGAATCCCAGATTAATCTCAACCAACACAACCATTGTTGGTTTTGCTAGAGATAAACAGATGGCTCAGGGTATTTTGCCCATCAACCTAAGTGTAGGACGACATTCTTTGTTATTGACAGCAATGCTAAGTATAATGCCCTACTTGGTAGGGATTGGATTCACACCAACAAATGTGTGCCTTCCTCTCTACATCAGAAGATAATGATGGCCTTGTTCAATGGAGAGACAGAGGAGATCAATGCAGACCCTCAACCCTTTGTCGCTTGTGCTGATTTTACGGAGGCTAAGTTGTATACTGAAGGAGTAACACCACTCAGTATATTAAGAAAACCTGATGGTTCAGCCAAAGTGACGGCTGATGAGAAAGTAGCACACCTGAAGCACTTGGTACAAGAGAGTGCTGATAAAGAATTCGTCGTCAAAGATGATAATGATGCCTGGTTGTAGGCAAAAAGGTGAAACCCAAGAAGCCAGACCTTTGGCTTTAGTTAAGTTCACAACATTGGA